GCCTTTGCACAGGAACTCACATTTCACGTTGTCGAGGCTGCCGTGTCCAAAGCGAACGGACCACCGCCGCCGCCAAACGACTTGGCGTCTTACTCGCGAAGAAAAGCCTCGTCAGCGCAAGTCTTGCCACCGGCGAAGAGCAAAGAAGTGACATGGCAGTCACTGGACGTGGGGTTCTACGTTATGTGAAATAACATAGTCCATGTTCTATATTCTATACACTTTAGATTATATATTCTATAGTAACTGTATATATATATATATATGTATATCTATCTATCTTTTGTTGGGCAAGGGCTACCCTAGATACATTTCCCTCCCGCCCTTCACCCTCTTTTCGATGCGTTGTTGCTGTTGTCGGAGTTGTTCAGAACAATGGGCTACATGAGCGCGGATTCGTCCCGGCGAGTTTTCGGAAAGACCACCCCCCAAAAAACCTTGAAACATCCACCTTTAATGGTACATAATGGTACCGTGGTTTAGGGTATTTGATGTTCTGCTATCTTATGGAGGAAACATATGAAGGATTTAGGTCACAGAGCTGGAGCAGACTTTGAGATACAGACATTCAGACGCTCACTCGGTCTAGGATTCAGGTTAATTAGGAGTTTCGTTCAAGAGTTATAAGGGTGTAAGATTTTGGGGTTCGCATTGTTTGTTCTTCAAGTTCCTTTGCGTGCTCCCGTGTAGCCACCCGAGTGCTTTTCTTCCACCCTAAACCCTAAACCTTAAACCCTAAACCCGTAGCCATTTTGGCTCAAGACAGAGCTCCGTAAATGCTTCGTCTTTGTCGACGGTCGGTTGTACCTGACCCCCGACGGGCAGCGGGTGGAGCTTGAGTTCCCAAGGTGGCGTTCCATCTTGGTCCAGTCCACGGTAGATCACCTTGTGCAGCATGTGCTCTACAAACCCTTCTCTGCGTTTGAGGTGGAACTCCTGCAGAGCGCCCATGTGGCTGATGCCGTTGATTATGGGAGCTTAGTGGGAGTCAGCACTTCGGATGAGGGATTGGTGCGTTTCAGGAGCCTGCTTGAGGAGCTACGTGAGCGGGGCTGTGGGCAACTCAGATCCAGCGATGTCACGGGGATGGATTGGTCCGCGGGCAGAAGCAGGGCTCTATTTCTGTTTGCGCAATGCATCAGAGCTCAGTCCTCAGTTTGTGGCCGCCGTTACGGCGCAGTCTTGGGCCTTGATCAATGGCACTTACGTCATAGACAGGACCTGGATTGCCCAGGTGGACTATGGGGTGGTTCAAACCGGCAGTTTGCGAACATCGCAGCAAGACGGTGCCCCCGGGAGGGTTGACAACGTCCTGAACACGGGAGTCATCCTCGACGAGGACCACATGGTTTGCGATGTCGCATCCAGCTCCTTGGACTATGGTGACGATCAGGTCGCGGCAGTCCCTACCGACGCCCAGTGCGAGGCTAGGGAATTTCTCGTGAACTGGTCATCGCCGTTCGACGAGCGAGATGTCGAGATCAGCGAACGCGGCGAGCCCATCGACACACTCGGGAGGTACGTTCTTGAGCGCCACGGTAGGACGGAGTACGAGCTGAAGAAGTGGAAGAACTCCATCAGGTCCATCGTCGCTTCCTCACTCGAGGGGCGCGAGGCTGGTGGAAAGATCACCGATCAGATCCGCTCTTTCCGCTTTGAGAACCGTTTCAACCCTGAGGCGCTAGCGTTTCTCGAGAATGCGTTGAAGACCTTGGACTTAACTTCTCATGATGTGGTTCCCGTTGATGATGTTTGGCCGTTGATGCAGTGTCCACTGATTGTGGCATATCTGGACGACTTGTCAGAGCTGTGTCGGCGAAGCATATTGCCGAGGGAGCCTCCTGGGGACCATAGAGAAGTGATTGCTGAAATCTTGGCAGGCTTGCTCTCGCGCATCAGACTGCGTGTGTGGTTTCTATATACTGACACGATGATGTATGGTGGTCTGCAATGACAGAGTGTTGGACAAGCACAGAAGCCCGCTATACAACTGGGGTCCGCTATTTCGCGAAGGTGAGCTCGAAGCTGCCACACTGCATGATTTTGGACATTGTGTGCCTGGGTGAATTCATGGAATGAGACAGCTGAAGTGAATTTATCTGCATGACCGGCTGCAAGTATTTGGAAGTGCATCTGGGGTGGAATTCATGGACATGGAGCGGATCAGTGCTTCAGGGAGTGCAGAACTGCGACGACACTGGAGATGGTGGCTTTAATTTACTGCACGCATGAGAAGACTTGAATGAATTGAATGAATTCACTATGTGACACTGCCGGGTATGGATGTACAAGAGTGACGTGGCTTTGGTGCATCGCGTGAAGATGAGATGCAGCTATATTCGGTACTTGGTGTATTGCCTGGCGGAAGAATTTGACTGCATGATCCTGCATTTGAACCCATGCATGAGTGCATGCATGTTTTCTGTGGCGTGATGCATCGATGAGAGTGAAGTATTGGCGCTTTCAGTGGGTCGCAGGAGGTTGTGCTTTTGAAACAGACCACAGCTAGGGTAATGTCCCTGAGTTGTGCCATTGCCTGCTGTCCTGACTGACTCAAGTGAGTTTTGGTTCATTTGGTCATTCTTTGGTATGGTTCGCCTGTTGTGGGGTCTTGGGTGTGAGTCAGTCTCGGCCGTTGCATTAGCGGAGATCGAACCATGAGGAGCCTTGCCTGCTTGTGCGAGTGTGACAGTCGAAACCCTAAACCCCTAAACCCTAAACACCCCAAGCCCCAAACCCTTTAACCCCCAAACCCTAAACCCCAAACCCTTAAACCCCCTAAGACCCTAAACCCCTAAACCCCTAAACCCTAAAAACCCCTTAGCCGCCATTTTGCTCGAAGCCTTGGCTCCCGGAGCCCTCTCCGGGAGTCGAGTGGGGGCAAAACGCTCCTTGGTGCACGGCACCTTGGAGGCCGTGGCCTCGGCTTCAGGGCTCCAGACATATGTATATTGTATATGTGCAATAATGCTATAATATAGGATACTATTTAAAGATAGTGGGTATAGTGATATATAATCATGATATATAATGAAAAAGTATGATATTAGACAAAGATGTGTGTATATGTATGTATGTATATATATATATATAACCGGGTATAGCTGATGAAAAAAATGATGCTCGTCTATAGGCTCCTTGGATGCTCTGCCGCTCTGCAGGCACGAGACCGCCAAGAGTGCAGCAGGCAAATGTTCTGCACGCGCAGAGCTCAGAGAGCAAGGAGTAGAGGAAGGTGACATCCGGAGGTGTTTCTATGGAAATTGAGCTTGCGCTGAGGGCATGCTGCTGTGGAGCAGGTGAGCAGGTCAATGGCACCGGCCCAAGCTACAAGACATGTAGTTTCAAGCTGGCTGTCTGATTCGTTGGAAGCTGCGGCGGTTCTTTTCAAGCGTTGACATAGACACTCTGAGACAGTCAAGCCGGACAAGACAAGTACTGCCGGCTTTTCGCACTCACCTCCCGTCAGAAGTATCGGCCCCTTATATCGGCTTGTGAGAAGGTCGTAACCGTGGCATGCTTCAGGTAAGGATCGCGGAGAGCTTGATCCGGACAAGACGCCTGAGGCGCGGCATGAGTCGTTTGAAGGCTCCTGTTCCGTGTAACGCGATTGCAGGACCCTAAACCCTAAACCCTTCTGAGTGTGACGAGACGCTGTGCATCCTTGCCTGCCTGGTGCGAGTGTGAGAGTCGAAACCCTAAACCCTAAACCGATTGCAGGAACCACCAGGTCCTCTAGACGGACATGCCGCCCGGGCCTCTACGACTCAAGCGTGCCGTCACTGGTCTTTAGTCGATGACGGGTTGTGTGGGGGAACGCTCGTTCTGGCCGTTTGGGCTTTATACGATAATCTAAGGTGTACTGGTAGCTGTAACCTTCTTCAAACCGGATTGAAGGTTTGTTTGGTGTTTCGGCCACATGCGATAGTTGACGGTCTTGGGTTATAGGCGTCACGGGTTCGTGTAGGCGATGAGAAGGCTACGATCCATCGGAATAATCTTTTGGTGAGAGAGACTCTTGGCTCCAGCTGTCTAAGTGCCAGAGAACAGGAAGTCAATTTGCCCGCAAGCTACGCCCACGCCGGGACAGCCGAGACTCGTGAGCAAGCTAAGGCCGTCCCATAGTCTCTCTTTGTTGTGCTCTTTTGGCCCTGTTGCCTCGCATACCTTGGGTCGTAGAAGTACATATCCCCGTCTGCGGGACCAACCCGTCGGCCACCAGGCACCTCCAAACAAGCGCGCAGACGATGCTTTGAACCTTGCAGATGCAGCCCGGCATGAAACTAAGACGGCGAACGTAGTTTTTGCTTGTGGCCTCCCCAGCTCTCCGATGCACTTGGATCACAAGCTCGCCTGCAACAGTTTGTCGTTTGTCCAGACAGCCGAGGATGCAATTACGCATGCCGCGGTGCTTGGGAAGGCCTGTTGCTGAGAGCAGTGTTGGCCGCCGGCCCCTGCTACTGTGCACACGCCGTGCGACTGCTGATGGCAGGAGCTCCCTGGGCAGGCGAGAAGCAAGCCTGAATCAGTGGAGAAATCGCACGGACACATCTGTCTTTCATTATTGATGTGTGACACGTGCCACAGCCATTGGCTTTTGGGCTGTGAAGATTTCAAGAACTAAGCTGGTTTTCATGGGAGCTTTCGAAAGTCTACACACCAGAATATGGCCGTCCATGCGAGACGAGACAGACGAGATTGGTTCACATCGCATTGTAGTCGTGACTGCTTCTCGAGGGAACAACGGCAAGTCAGACGCCAGAGGAAAAGGCCCTTTCAAAGGTACGTTAACGCCTCTATAAAGCTCCATAAGGGTGATTTCAAAGGGTGGCATTTGGTCCCCATCTTGTCGGAAGCGACGTGACATTGAGCAGAGCACCGGAGCCACGCGTAGATGATGCCATGCGCCTGCGGCCGGGCAGTTCGGGGCCCTCAAAATGAGGTCCAGAGTCGCAGGTCCAGCTTCGTCGGGAAGCCTTGCGACTTGACTTTCAGATTAGGATGCCGAGTGGAGACCAGGGAGGGACCCACAAAGAAGGCCCCAAAGAAGGGCCCTGGGGAAGTCTCTGGCCGGAGTGGAAGCTGGAAGCAGCTGCGTCATCGGCGACTTTAACGAGCTCCGTTGCTGTGGCCTTCGCTGCAGCAGCGGATGCAAATGAAATGCCGCAGAATCTGAGAAGCCTTTGCGATCTGGCAGGAGAATGTGCAGCCTGGCTGCATGCCAGGACGATGATTGCCATCGCTCAAGTGCAACTGCGGACACCCTTCGACTTCAAGAACCTGCTTCGGCTGCTTCTGCGAAGCTTAGCCAAGGATGCCCAGCCCTGCCATAGCTCCGACTGGGTTTCTCTGGCCGCAGAGCTGCAGCTTATCGGCCTCGCGCATGGCGACGGAGCGCTGAACCAGCGTTGCGCGGAGGCGGCGGCCATGGTCCGCACGAGGGCTGCCAGGGGCGAAATGGCTGCGGCCGCGGAGCTATTCTGGGTGTTTTTGACAGCCAAGGCTCTGAACGAGGAGCTCCTTGCATCCTTGGAGTCTTTACACGACATTCCGGACAAAGCGCCCGACGCACTTGCTGGGCTCCTGTGTGGGCTGGCCCAGCCTTGTGTCTACGATATATTGGGTGCCAGGCGGCTACTGGAACTCGCCGACCACTTCGCCCGGCGCTTGACCGACCTTCCCCAAGAGCTTCCGACCCGGTCGCTTCCCCGAGTAGCCCTGGCACTGGCGGATTTGCTGCAGCTGACGAAGGGCGGTCTTGGACTCCTTCAGGCCCTCCTCTCCGTCAACCGCGAAGCAACATCACGTCTCGATCGGCTTTCCATGGAAGATCTCGCTGACTTGGCTGTTTCATTGTCCGGTGCACCCGAGCAGCAGGATCTCATGGATGCATTTCTGACGGAAGCCGGTCACCGTCTGCAGGGTCGCGCAGGTCCTCCCGTGCCAAGCCCTGGCTCTGCCGTCCTTTTGCGGAGAGCGCTGGGGTCGGTGCCTTGTGGCAGCGTGGGTTTACTGGGAGAGTTCTGCCTGGTTACGGGCCGCTGGCGCGTCTGGCTGGAGGGCGATTCCCTGGATGCCCGGGAAGAGGACTTCGGGCTCTTGGACGGGGGTGCGCGGCCTCAGCGATGCTGTTTCTCGTGCTGGAAGCTTGCGCCCCGGCTCTGGAAGTCTGCCGAAGATGCATCTCGTTTCTTGGCACGAGGTATGTTTCGCGGGAAGGTAGACTCGATATATATATATATATATGTATATATATGTATATATACACGTACATATACACACATTCATCAATTAATTAATTGATTGATTGATTGGTTGATTAATTAACTAATAGGTATGTATATGTGTGTGTATATATATTATAACTAGTTAGTTAGTTAGTTAGTTAGTTAGTTAGTTAATTATTTAAATATATACATATACATATATATATATATACATATAGTAATTATACATGTAGAGCATCAGCCACGTCTCGAGCTGTCTTTTGCGAGGAGAGTTCTGCGATGAGTGTCGCCAGAACTGTGGGCGGGCCGAGGATGCTCGCCATGCCTGCACTACTCGTGTTTTTGACTTTGCCCTTGAGCAGTCTTGCTGATTCTCGCTTCCTCAAAGCATTGCCGGCAGGACGTGCCGAAGGATCCATGCGTCCGAGGCATTGAAGACCTTCCCGCAGGCCTGCGAGTCTAAGGACACCCGAAAAACCCTTGTCATAATTCGAAAAACAAAATGTATAAAGTTTGAATCTCGGTGTGCCCACCTACTACTGAGTACTACTGTACTTCTAGGTACCAAAACAAAGAAGGCTGTAGAGTGAGTAGCGGAGTAGCGGAGCGGAGTCAAAGGCACAAAGCAAAGTTTCAATGATCTGTGCCAGGCTTGGGGCCCTCGCCCCGAGCTGTGGCGCGGATGGCTTTGGCCGCGGCTCATGCGAGAAGGCCCCATATAGCCACTCGGCTGATTGGGATACGGATACGGTTTAGGGTTTAGGGTTTAGGGTGGGTTCAGAAAAATAGCCACTCGGCCGGCAAACGTGCCGAGCAGTTTCTTGTTCCCTCCCTTTTGGCAGTAAGGAGGGATTGCTCAAGCAGTTCCGTGCTGCTGCAGAGCAGCTCTACCACAAAGTGACGGAGGAGCTACCTTTCCAGGAAGAGACAGGCCTTTCAAAGGCGAGTTCTTTGGCAAAGTCTGGGCCGGACATTCCCGTTTTCGTCGTGAATCTAGATCGCAGCCCGCACAGGCACGGCACGGCACGCTCCCCGGGGCCTCAACGGCATTGGCCTTGCGTTGATTTTTTCCTGAGTTTCCCGAGTCAGGCTCGAGGAGATGCGGCGAGAGGTGCAGCGGTGCAACCTGCGCGCGCGGCGCTTTGCGGCGACGGATGGCCGGCATCGCGTGGTGCGACGCAGCCAATGTGAGCCATACACCAGAGACTTGACAAGCTTCGCATTACGCTGGGACGAGGCTCGACCCGGCATTGGTGTGGCGTTGACTGCTGACCAGGAGAGGCACTACGTGGGCTACGCCGGATCTTGGTTGTCACACATGCGGGCTTTGCGCCAGGGCTTTGAGGAAGGATCTCCCTTCGTGGTCGTGCTTGAGGATGACCAGGGTCTGAGTCCTGACTTCAATGGCGTCTTGAGAGACATCCTGGATTCGGCCGGTGATCTTCTGGATGTCGTCATCTTGGGTCCTTTAGATTGGCGCTTGCGGAGCTTGCAGTATGCACAGCGCCGCAAGGTCATGCAGCTGAGACATCCTTGCTCGGCGAGCAGAACGAGCGAGGAGGAGTACATGGCGGAACTCTATGGTTACAAGCCCACCTTATGCCAGGAGAGCACCTACTTCCTCTATTCTATTGGATCTCGGGCAATGACAGGCGAAGATCTGCTTTCCACTGGTTGTTGTGGAGTGTGGGGCTATCTGGTCAGCCGCCGCGGGTGCCAGAAGATGGAGGCACTGTGTCCTGCCCCCCATCTAAACGCTAAATCTTGCTAGCTTGTTCCAGAAACCGTCTGCTTCAAACAATATGTTTCTCTCATAGAGCGTACCGCTGTGGAGGGATGAGCAGTTACCCTAAGAAGCCTCTTCTTGCCACTGTAGGCTTCCATGAAGTTCATGTGGGAGTCCTTTGACGACGTGCTGCAAGCTGAGCTTCAAGGCGACAATCGCTTCACCAGCTTTGCCGGCCCCTGAGCCCATCGAGAGAAGCTGCAACTTCTATTACTACCACCACCACCACCACGAC